ATCTTTGTAACGCGGCTGTAAACGAGAATTCTTTAAAAAGCTGTTAACTAGAGAATCGTATTAAGATAAGGGTTGAAGTTTTTGCTTCTCATCCCGTGACAAATTATTCTTTATTTCAAGCGATGCATTTTGGATAAGTTAGCAAGTTAGCAGAACGAATAGAGAAGATAAATTGATGGTTATATCGATATTTTCGTTATTTTCGAATTTTGACTTCTGAAAATATTTGAGAAAAATTCAATTTCATTTGAAAGGAAGTGATATTAAGAAAGATTTTTTTCTTTTCGATATATAATACAGTAGAAATATAATAGAACATGTATTATTCAAACACTCATTATCGAAATATTATTTTAATATTCGAACGTTCTATGTCGTTCTAATCAAATATATAACATTCTAATCAAATATTCTATTATTCGAATTATATATACATTATGTATAATACATTATCTATGCTTGCGACAATGTAAATAGACGTTTTATTACAGCAATAGAAGTGAAATTTAATTTCAAATTGTTATATAATATATATATATATATATATATATATATATATATATACACAGACTATGTCATTTATCTGGTAATTAAAAATAAGTTTCTATTTAAAAATATGTATAATGTAATTTCATAAATCTTTTCAAGATCATTACTAAGTCTAATAAATATTGACATTGAAATATTTGCAAATTTCATTTTATTTATTATAATAGAAATACTTAAAAAATTAGGAAACGATAAGAATATTTCAGAATTGAAAAAAGAATATTAGAAAATCACTGGCATTGAAAAAACAGGAAGGAGAAATTGAAAATTATTTTCAAAATTTGAATATTCCTTTGCATCTTCCAATATAAGAAGTTTAAAATTGCTGAAAAATAAAAATATTACTGTGTATCACTAGTTCAATTAGATTTCAATTTTAAATAATATTATTTTCTTCACGAATATAAAATAATTCATTAAAAAAAAATGTTTCTATTATTCAAAAATTCCTTATTCAGATAATAACTGTTTATTATAATATTATGAAGATCTATTATAATAGAAAGTATTATAAATTATAAATTTTAAATGTCAATATATGTAGATATTGATCGAAATTGAATAATATAGATTTTGCAGAAAATCAATTTCACAGGAAAGTGAATAACACCGAACGATTCATCGTCAAATAGTAGTACTACAGATTCGATAATCTAGGTTGACGTAGTATCAAAACGTTAAACATCAATCACCAAGTCGCCTTCTGTGCTTGTACAATTGACAGAACAGGTTCAATATAAAATTGAAAATGCGTATTACTCTTAGGAACAGGATCCATATATAGTATCTATATCGTTTGATTAATTTTGTATCTTCGTAATTTTTTTAAAAATATCTCAATAATATTAATAATATTGTTATGTTTTCACTGAATTATATTTCAATAAATTAACATTAGATTTATAGACCTCATAAATTTAAAAAAACAAATAGATACCTATTATCAATAATTAATTAACAAAGTGAATAAATATATTGATCATAATTATTTTAATGAATCTTTTTTGTTGATTGATATGAAATTTATATCTCATTAAACGTTGAAATTGCTAATAAAAAAATAATAATTGTAATTGTTAATTAATTTAATTAAATTAATGCAAATTTATTTTGTTTAAGACCCAGAAATAGACTTTCTTGATGAATATAAATTATAGAAACTAGTTACAATTTGAATAATTCTTTCATTTAAAACATTAAAATGATTTCTGATTTTATTTTAAGATATTATACTTTTGTATCATAATTTATCACTTTTAAAAAGAAATGTTTTTAAAAATAATATAATATATTTTAATAATTTATTTTTACAAGAATAATTACATTACAACAATTTAATAATAATTATACGTTTGTAGTCATTATTAATCAATTATTTTTGAATCTTCAATTATTTATTAATTGTTAGATAATTAAATTTGGTATTATTACCAAATATTAAATTTGGTGATCAAGCAAATGCATATTGTTATATTAATATAATTGAATTTAATTGAAAATATGATATTTTATTGTAAATTGTAATATTTTAATTTTATTAGAAACAAACATTATTTCGTTTATGCAAACAATATATCATAGTTGTTAAATGCATATATGATATATTATTTACAATATAATATATTTATGATATCTTTGGAATCAATTCTATCTATCAAATAAACATAAAATTAATCAAATAAATATCAAATAAAAAATAAATATAAAATATCAAATAAACATAAATAAACATAAAAATAAAAGATATCGGTTGAAATTTCTTTATGAAGTTATAAAATATATTTTAATTTTGCTCTAGATAAAGCGAGACAAAGATAACATAATAGATAGAATGAGTTTTATTTCTGTTTCACTTCATTTAATGCAAATTAAATTGTGCAAATTAAATTTAATAAATGAATCTTAATTGATATTTTTATGTTTGTTTCTGTATCTAATCTATATATTAATAATCTATATATTATAATATTAATAATCTATATATTAATAATCTATTAATATTAATAATCTATATATTATAATAATATATATATTAATATTTTATATAAAAAAGGATTTAATAATTCAAACTTAAACTAAAAATTAACTTAATTCTTAAATTAAGAGATTTCTTAAATTTTGTTATATTAAAAAGAATTAATTAAATTTTCAGAACATGTACACTTGATGCACGTAAATCTTTATCTATCCTTTATCCATGCAAGGAATGAAAGAAACTACGTGTCCAACGTATTAAATAAAGCAGTATATGAGAATTAGTACAAGATGTGATAATAATATATACGAAATTTATGAGATAAATGAGATATGCGAGGTAAAATTAAATAATTTATGATAAATCTTAAATAATGATTCTTTTTTATCAAATAAAATACATTTTTAAATTTTTAATTAATCTTTCTTAATTATTTGAAACAATAATAGAAATTATATAATTTAATGAATTTATATGATTTAATGAAAATATTATCTATTTAATCACTTTCTCAAGACTCAAATAATTCAAAATTACATTTCATTTTTATTTTGCTTTTTTTGCAATATAATAATTTTTATTTATAATTAAATGTAACACGATTATACATATTCATATTTTCAAGAATCTAAAATAAAAATTTTATGTTACTTAATTTGCAATTTAAATTTCCACAATATATTTCTTAATCATATTTATATACTAATACATACTAATAATTATTAATATTTATAATATATTCTAAAAATTGTACTCTATAAGAATCTACTTATAAGATTCCACATAATTTTGCAAAGATAGTTAAAAATTTTTGCCTCAAAAGAATTAATAAATATTCTTGAAATATTTTTTTCGCAATCTATTTATTATTTAACCGGTTTATTTAGATGTATATGAGGACTCGTTCAATAAAATTCAACTCTTTAATAAAGATCTATTAATTTTGGTAGAATCGAGGAAAATATATAATGAGACTCGTTTGCAAAAGTTGTTCTCGTTGTTCGAGAATGATAGATGCGATTTTGAAGTCATAATTGGTTAATTTGGCGATTGTGAATAATGAACGTGAATCTAGCCGGTATTTCTAAAATTGGGTAACAGAGGTAAATGTCTCTTTGGAGCGACACGTGTACGAGAACAATTTCGATTATCAAAAAATTTGTATTTTGTCGTTTCCATTCTACCATAAATTCTGGATGAAGGAGACGAGAAAGAGAGAAGTCAGTTTTCGGGTTTTAAATTTATGTAATAAATACGAAATCGAATGTTATGGATATATTTGAATGTTACGTGAAAGTACGTGAAACTTTCTGTAGGTGATAGATTTGCATAATTTGGTAAAATGAATGTTTCTATCCTTTACGAATCTTCGTGAGACTTTGAATATATTACCATACGATAGTTTATTCGACTAATAGTCATCTAACTTGAAATATAAAATCATCAATTTTGTTCAACCATTAACTCGGAATAGGAAGAAGTATTTATGAAGATTTATACGGATAAAATTAAAATAAAAATTGCGTAATGAAACGTTTTATATAAATAAATATTATGGAAATTTTGTTATAATATAAGTAAATATTATAATAAAGTAAATATTATAAAAAAAATGAAAGAATTGTAACGAAAGTTTTGATTAGATTAGAAATTTTTTTTAAATTAAAAACAAATGTTGTATACTTCTTATAAATTTTGAATATGGAAGTATATTGAAGTTATTTTGAAAATAATGTCTTTATAATATATATAATATCTTTAATCATATTGTTATGATTTTAAAATCACATTATCAATAATTTTTTATTTTTCATTGTTAAATTGTTTTCTATGTTTTTATGTCACAATCCGTGAAATATAAACTTTTACAGATTAAATCACGATAATAAATATTTCTATTTCTCTTGCACGTGAATTGACAAGGCGATTGAATTGTTGGAGTAATTATGGTACGTGTATATGACATTTCCGGCTGTTGCATATGGTACGTCATCATTGATGACATTGATTGTTTTGTATATATAATTTATGAAAATACATTTATAATGAATAAGAAATATATCATAAATATTTATATTTCACTTAAATTTACTAAACCACAATTTTCTTTAATTTAAAAATAATAAATAATCCAAAAAATCTTCTCATAAGTGAATATTTATAAAATAAGAGAGAATATACATTCTAAGATTTCCTTAATTGTGTCAATAATTAAAAAAGTATAATTAATTAAAATTTTATTTCAATTAATTAGCTAACAACATTAATATCGAATAAAACATAGAATATCTTATTTCGAATATGAAATATAAATTTTGAAAGATCATTGGACGTAACATTTTTACATCAGTAAAAGAGTTTGGGGGATTTTGTATCCTCCTAGTGAAAGGAATCCACGTCTGGCGTCGCCGTATAAAAACAGCCGAATTTTTCGTTTAAGTCACATTTCGATTCTGTTCTCTAATCTATGTACATCATGAAGTATATAGTAAGTAATAACTTTTTTATCAATTTAATCGAAATATCTTTTTTTATAATATTTAATAATTAATTACAGATTAAATTTTTATTAAATCATTCAATTAATTTTTATTAAATCATTCAATTAATTATTTTATTAATGGCATATTCTCTATTTAAGTTTATAATAATCATTTAAACAATTTAACAAGCCCGCTTTTTTTTATTCTTTTATTCTACATAATAAATATATATATTTTTTTCTCAGTAAAATATGTTTCAAATTTTAATATATCGTATCTTTTTCTACAAAAATAAAAAAGATATATATTTTTAAATCATTAATAATCATAAAAAATGATATTTTCTTTTTTTTACAAAATTTGGTTCTAAAAAAATTAACTCTTTTTTTTTTCAGATTCCTTTATTCATCGTTTTCTTCTTCGCCATTCACGCAAGTGAAAGCACGAAGAAAATCGAGAAACGTGGTCTTCTCGGAGGTAATGGACACGGCCATGATGTATCTGGATTCAATATTGATAATATCGAGTCTGGTTCTTATTTGCCACCACTGCCATCTGTGGGAACAACTAAGAAATCCTTCTTAGTCTCTTCTGTTTCCTCTCCAAGTTATAGTGCCCCAGTCCCATCCTATTCTCCGCCAATATACAGAGTACCTGTTGTAGCACCAGTCCCATCTTACAGCGCTCCTGTTTCTGCTCCAGTGCAATCTTATAACGTCCATGTTTCCGCAGTCCCATCTTATGCTGCTGCTGTACCAGCTCCAACATACGGTGTTCCTGTCTCTGTATCGACATCTTATGGAGTCCCTAGCCTTCCATCAGTACCTCTTCATAGCAGTGTGGCAGCACCAGTGCCTGTGTCCGTGCCCAGTTTGAGTAATGGAGTCAGTGTAGGATCTGTGAGTGTACCCAGCACTTCTTACGGCGTGCCAAGCAATGTTGTTCATTCTGTACCTAATGGCATCTCATCGAGCCATGTCTCTTCAAATGGAGTCTCTTCTGGATTTGTGGGATCTTTGAACGTACCCAACCACAGTTACGGAGTGCCAAGTTTTACCAGTGGATCAGTGGTACCAGTAGCACCAGCGTCATCAGTTAGTCTGTCACACAGTCAATCGTATGATGTTCCAAGCTCTGGCCATCAGTTAGTAGCACCACTGGCATCAGTTAGCCTGTCACAAAACCAGTATTCTGCTCCAAGTTCTGATGATGGATATTCATATCCTGTACCATCGCAACAATTAGTTTAAATTCCAAATATTATCAATATAATTCTACTATAATTTGAGATTTTAATAGTCTGAATAAATTTATCTTTAAATAAAGATTCTTGTATTGGAAACATAAAGAATTACATTGTGAAGTATATCTAAGTATATGAAATATTAATTTCATCTAAAAATTGTAATTATAATTTTTTAATGAATAAAATTTTTTCAATGATTATAATTCTTATATAAAATAATATGTATATATAATTACAACAATTTTTTTTAAAATAAAGATATCGTTTTCAATGTAAACGGCATAGTTTTTTTTAGTTTTTTTTGAGTTGCAATTTCCTTTTGTAATATTCAAATAACTTACAACTTTTTCTTTTATGTTTCCGCCTATATAGAGCAAAGAAAATATAAAAAATTAATACGGTTGTATCTAGCAACATTCATTTTGAACGAAATCATTATATTAAAATAAACAATTGAAATTTATTAATTAAAATTGATTGCGATAACCTGGAAAATATTTCACAACCTTCGATTACAATTCACAGATTAAAAACTGTTATAATATTTTTAAATATATTTATCAATAATAAATTATTTTTCAAAGAAGACAATTGTCAATATACGAGTTACATGAACATTGATAAAACAATAAATTAAACATAAAATAAGCATTAAAAGTATAACTCAAACAATCTTATTCATAACTCTCTGTTCGAGATTTCTACATAAAACTCAAGAAACAATTTAAAATGAAATAAAATGATAATTAGATATATTTCAGATTCGAATTGAAATGAGACCAAACACATCATCAGTTAGAAGTTTTAATTCAGTTTGTACTAAGCAGCTTATATGTACATTAGGTATGCCATTACACGCTATTTCAAGTCACCCCTAGTCCTTCATCCCCACTTCTGACAAACCACTCTTTCCCACTAGAAAGCCCGAGGTTGTGTACTTTTTCAGTTGCTTGCCGCCATCTTCGTAATAGTATCTGTATTCGTAGGAGATGTACGTGTCTTGCTCGTATTTCACCAACTTTTATGAATTACTCTGCCAACTTCACGCACACAAATGATTTCTCGACTTGCACACACGACTTGCCTCGACAGGGGGGTAGAATGTACTCGTCCATGTGCACTTCTGTCCACTTTTTGCCAGAAAACTGGCAGTCACGCACTATTTTACGACTTTTGCTGTGTCTCTGAATTAACAGGAGCTTTTTCGGGCAGGAAGGACAGTCTCTTTATGCACCCCCTTTAGAAATGAAGAACATTGCTTGTATATAATCTCGAGGTTACAATATCGTTAAACTAGCGACTCTATCACTTCGTACATTCATGTTATGAACAGAAGCTTTTGTATGTGGTTCAACGAAGAAATTGTGAGATTGGACGCATAAACCGGAAGTTTGCCGTGAACTGACCTGATGACGCGGTAGGAAACGAAGCAGAAGAGATATCTTTAGAAAGGTGCATTTCTGCTTATATGTATATTCTTTGAATAGGTTTCTGTTATGGATATAAACTATTACTATGAAGCTTTATTTTTATTAATATTATCATATTATTAATATTGATATTAAATATTAGGAATATTTTTAATTTTTTAAAGAACCTAATTTAATATTTTAAACTTTCGTTATTATAATTATTATAATTATATTATAAGTGCTGCGAATTGAAGTAGAAGATATTCTCAGAAAGCTATATTTTTATTTATATGTAATATAATCTATATAAAAATAAAAATCAATAAATAAATTTTTGTTAGAAATCTGCTATAGATATTTTATAGAAATGGATATTTTATATATTGATAGAAAAATATTCTTAATTTTCTTTTAAAGAATGCATTTCTAGTTATATAATTACTAAATAAATTTCTGTTACAGATATAATATAGATATAAATTATTACTTATGAATTTCTTTTTTTAAATAATATCAAATAGAGGAATATTCTTCATTTCTTAAAGAACTAGTAGTCCAAACTTTCATTAGCCATTGTCAGAGAAATCCTTCCCTTTTTCAGAATAGGTCTCTATACTTCCATATCTTGCAATTGAAGTCGTCTTTAGGATTCAGATACAATAGTTCAATAGAGCTAACAATAAATATCTGGATATTTCATCTTTTCTTCAATTATACTTAATCCTGAATCTTTATTTTTAAAAAAATGAAAAAGTATTTGTATATGTTAAATTAAGTAAATAAAATGAACAAAACGAGATATGAATGTATTTATATGTCTATATATCTATATTATATACAACTATTTATATATCATGGTACAATAATTTAATTTCTTTTTTTACGAAGATAGCAGAATACAATTAGAGTATAGTAATTAAATAATATATATAATAATAAATAATAAAATATAATATAAATATATAATATAATATAAATAATAGTAATATAGAAAAGATACTAATATAATAAATAGTGATATAAATAAATTAGAGATATATATCTAAATAGTTGGTTAATAGGTGTATGTAACAAATTTGGAAAGGTATTGTATTATTATCTGATGGAGCAAACATCGACAATTTGAAATAAGTACAGTGTAGGAGCTAATTGTAAACATTTATCTAACGTGAAGGATTTAAAGTACTGTAAATTTATTCGCAAGACCCCTGCTTAATTACGCAGATTCCAAAGCATCATTAGCACTCTCAGTATTTAAGCTACATTGGAGAAGTCGAAAGTTCCTGGTTTAGTCTAAGTTTTACAGATTTACGTGTATAATATATAAGTGTATAATGTATAATGTATCCAATGAAATACTTTTAATAAAAATTAATTGTTAATCTAGTTTATAGTTTATACATTTTCACAATCTATATTAGTATATTTATCAATATTTCTTAATTAAATTAATTAATAAAATTATTACAAATATATTTAATTTTCAAATCAAAAAATATTTATATTATAAACATTTATCTAATATAAGATTACTTAAAGATATTAATAATATTATTATATATAAGATATATTAAAGATATTAATCTACTTAAAGATATTATAGATTTATTCACAAGAATGTTTAATATCTGATATTTTACCATTTCATAAAACGAAGTAGTTAATATATTAATTAAAATTAATTAACACATTCGAGATCAATGATGCAACAATTACATCATAAAGATTTTTTATTTTATGGCGGTTCATACGGTCGTATCATGAACTTTTTCAAGAAATACGAAAGATAAAAAAAAGTTTTCCAATTTATACCCGTTCAATATTATCATTAGTATACACAATCATTTTATATTTCATTGCATTTTTTACTATTTTATAACTGTTTTTATCGAAAATCAATATTCATCTTTCATATAATATATATATAACAATAAAAATAAAAATGTGTTAAATTAGTTATTCAAATATTTAATTAATGATATTAAAATTTTCTGATCGAATTATCCATAGTTTATAGATAGTTACAGAATTTTCTATCAACAAATTTTTTTCGACCAACAAGATCTGAAACAATGTCTACGATGTAATGTAGCAGAACGAAGCTGAAAAATTGTTACCGTAACGAGCGTAATCTGGGAACAACGAACTGTGTTGCACTAGCAAAGTGTTAATGACACGAAATGAAAACGATTCGTCTGAGACTAGTAAATCAGACCGGTGAAATACACTAACCGGCCAGCCATTTAATTACAATGTTGGGAGCATCGTAGCGTCAAACAGCTAACACGGTGGATAGCGCATCTAAATTTTTGCTTGGACTTTATATCGGCAGTTAATGTGGATGATATACGCGCATAACGTTTATCCAACGATGGCCACTAGCTTTTTTTTTTTTTTTTTATAACGACGGCCACTAGCTTAAAGCTGTAGCTGTTCGCACAATTTTTATACCACGAACGCGCTATTTATGATCGCTATTTCGCAGCATCGCGTTTATTCTTAACTTGAATGCGCGACAAAATAAACAGTTAACACCGTCTATTTTGATGTTTTTTTTGTTATTCCAAGGTACAATGCGATAATCCGGCGAGGAATATTCTTCGAATGTTTCTTATCATTTTTTTATCAAGCTTTGAAGATTTGTGCAAGATTGGTTGGGACGAAGAGATGCATTTTTTTTTTACAGAAGTAATAATTAATAAGAGATTGCGGAACGAAATTCTTCAATTTGCGATTTCTGCATATTGATCGCCAGATAACAGATAAGAAAGTTTTGTTATTTTTTTGTAACGGAAAAAGGAATATGTAACATTTGTGAAAAAACGAATTTTTATTCTTCCATTTAAAAAGATTTATAAATAATGATGAATTTTAGAAATTTTCTTTTTAGTTTTGGGAATGATTGTCCAGATTTGATGAAAGAAGAACAGAGAATTGAATGAGAAATTTTTATTATGAAATACTTAATTCTAAATGTAATCCATACATTTAATTTTAAATCTCAACAATCTTAAAATAGTTAGAATATTGTAGAATACTGTTGCAAATTTTATAATTAATTTTTTATTTTATTATATATTTTAAAATCTATTATAAAAGGAATGATAGAACTTTCTTATCTCCCTTTTTATCTAATAATAATATAATAAAATAATAAGATTAGTAAAATTGCAAAATATCAAATTTATATGATTGAAAATTTTTTATTTTTTCTTTCAAAAAATAATCTTCGAAGAATTTATCGATTATTTATTATTCAATTGTTTAAAAGAATTTAAAAATCGCTGTGTTTAAATTGCGCATGGAATTGATTTGTTATATTTTATTGAATATCAAGTTTAGATTGGAATCAAAATTTGTTACAGGCTCGAAATGATGATTGCAAATTTTTAATTAGAAATATTAATCATAATATTTCTAATTAAAAAAAATTTTTTAACTTAATTCTCTTTACTTTTCTGCTTTAGAATCAGCAAACATTATTTCATTCCATAATTAAAATTAAAATTAATATTTAAAAAAATCATAATAATAAGATAAATGAGACAAATAAAAATAATTCAAATAGAATGATTTTTAAATTCTTTTAAATAATTAAATGATCAATACAGATTGTATTGAATTTTACGAAAATTATTTTAAAAGAAAAAAATAAAGAGTCTTATGATTTGGTACTTTGCATTAACTATAAAAAAAAATAAATATAATATAAAATAAATAAGAATATAAAAATATAATGAGAATAATGCATAAGAAATAATGGAAAAAATCCAGTAAATAATTTACTGATATATTTCTTAAATTTCTAAATTTGTAAAGAATATTATATATATATATATACTTAAATGTAATTCTATTTCAATATTCTTTTACATCGATCGATATGAACATAATCGATACACTAAATTTGTAGTTTCGCGCTCTTACGCTCAGAATCTTTCACCGATAGATGTCTCGCCAAGTGTACTCAACAGTATAGTGACCTCAAAAATTTAATAAGGAAGAATTAATTAACAAATAAATATGACGAAAAAGAAAATGTATTAACTTAACTAATTATCGTAATAAATTCAAAATTAACAAATATTCAAAAGCTTATTATAAAAGCTTAATAAGCTAATAAATTATAATAAATGTAATGTAAAATATAATTTCAAATTTTTAAGAGTTTAATTAATTTATTGCGGAATGTTATTATTCATATTTATTTTTTTGTTAAAAATTTCTTTAAATTTTTCACAATATTGACGATAATGTTTGCGAATGAATCTTTGTTGAAAAATAATTTTATAAATTAATCATATTGTTCGAATAAATATTGTACCTAATTGATTGCAATTTGAAATACAATGCAATGAAAATTTTTAAACGTACATTTTTGTATGTTTATTAAATTTTGTAACAATAAAATTTTACATTGATTAATATAAATTAATAAAATAAGAATAAATAGATAATAATAAATAGATAATTTTACATTCACACTGATAAAAATATAATTTTATTTTGCAAAATATTTTATTATAATTTCTACTATTCTTTTCTTCTTCAAATTTTCATCAGAAAGATTTCGCTTCTAATTTGATGTTAATTGAATTTTATTTTGCATTTATCATTATGCAATTCGTACTAATTTAAATATTCGTATTATGCAATTTTAATTTTTACCAAGACAATTTTTAATTATTCAATCTCTTTTCTGTCAAAATTCTAATATTTTAACATATTTACGAGTTATCACTGTAATAAAAAGCTACTCTCGTTACTGTTATTGCATTGTATACACGTAAGACCGTAGATCTGGTTGCAGGAACACAAGCGTTTTCAAGCGATGCAATACCACATGGGAATGCGACGTGTGCTTTTATTGGTTGTTTTGAAACAGTAAAACACACCGTAAACACCACGTCACCATACTCGTAAACAATAGATCGGTGTTCGTATAAGAGTTACAGGATAGAACGACAGACAGACCAATCTGTTTAAATTTATTTGCAAATAGAATCGGCATTGGTGTGGAAATACGTGAGCATGACAAGTAACGCGATAGAAATTCAGAACGGTAAGTGTGCTCGAAAAAATTTACCGAAAAAATTGATTTTAATTTCAGAGAGAGCAATAAGCACGTAGAGAGAGAGAGAGAGAGAGAGAGAGAGATTGAATACCGACAAAATTATGTCACTGCTCTTCGGTTTTGAATTTTGTGCAAATTCTTAATAATCTCAAATATTTAAAATATTTTATATATTAAATTTATATAATAATAATATATAATATAATAATAATAATATTATATATTATAATAATATTTATATAAATTTATATAATAATAATAATAATAATCATTATATTCTAAAAAAATATTAATTACTAAATAATTAAACGAATGTAAATACAAATGAATATACATAGTTATATTTGCTAAATTTTTATTCAAAAACAATTGTTATCGAGTGTTTTAAGTAAAAAAAATTTTAAAAATAATTACGTCAAAATTCTTTTCATTCAAATATATTCATTTCTATCATTTATTTAAATTAAGTTACGAATTGTGAATTATTAAAAATATGCATATTACTATAACAATTATAATTTCAAAATTCAATTAAAAATCAATTTCTCTATTATCTATTGCATATAATTGCATATAATTTATCTATTGCATTTTTAATAACTGACGATTACTGTATAATTTTATATATAACATTTTCATAAAAATTTTTAATTCAAAATACATATCTAATGAGGATAGATTTGTTTCTAAAACTCTTGTATACGAAACATAAAGTCTAAGTGATAATTTTTCGGTAAGTTTAAGTTTAATTAATTAAATTGTATTAAAATTGTATTATATAATCCTATAAACATACATTCGAAGATACGACACGAAGTAAATCCATTGTCTGTCTCGTAGTAATTTCCCATATTGCGGAAACGAGTTAATATATTGACAGGTGACTCGTCTTTCAATCTCAACCCCGGTCCAAAAGCAAATTACTCGACCGAAGCGAGGAAATAGCGAGGTCTGTATTGAGGGGGTCCTTCGTGTCCATGGCACGCGATGTCATATCACGTTATTGAGAGCTACTTGTCACTCCCTGCTTTGGCGTCATAGCAGGACAGGACGTCCATGCGGATCATTCAATTAATTCCATCTTTACTCACATAAATACCGACGATAACCGTAGGAAAGTTCTGTACGTCTACCATTGTCACTTGTCATTTGAGTACCATGTTATGAATGAGAAGGACGAGATATTTAAACGAGTGCATCTAATTATATCTGAAATTATACGTATACCGACCTCGTTAATGAATGATCAAAGAATGATATTTATGATATTTATTGTAAAATATTTTCTTTTAATGTAATCCATAAATTTATTTCATTTTGAATCGTAAAAATAAATTTTATTTAATTGTTAAATAATTTAAAAATAGCAAATTATATTAAAGATTATTAATTTCAAAAATGAAAAACATAAAAGTTGGTATACAAAAATATCGATTAAAACTTGAATTAGAGAGAAATCGTTTTATCTTAGATTACCATTGCAATCTGTTCTCACTTCGTTTCCAAAGATGTTCCACGATATATATTAATGATAATATGTTCTATAATATGTTTTATTTTACATACTTTCCATAAAATATTTTATTAATAATTTTAATTAATTTTAAATAATTCATAAAACAATTTTGAAAATAACATCTATATGAATAATGATTTCATATTTTATTATATATTTTCGATAAAATATTTATTTAATTCACAATATTAAGTATATCAAGTATGTTCTTATAACATTATGTATTGTAATAATTTGATCAATGAGAAATTTTTGAAATCTATTGATATAAACGTCGAATATCATTCATGAATATTACTCTCAATAAATAATTATACGAAGAAAAAAAAATTTTTATATCTAAAAGTATGCGTAGAAACGTTGAACAATGGTTTTTTCCTTGTCGCATTCACCGCTCGATGCAATTTAATTTCGTTTGAACGTAATATAATAGGCAGTGTATGAGCCATTTATGCGGTAGGGTGTTATAGATTATTGGCTTGACGGGTCGTGAGTCTCATACCATTTCTGTTAGGCATTCATTTATAAATGCCACAATTCTAACAAAGACTCTGATTGCGATGTTCGTAGATAGTCATCGATGCTAACTCTCCTTCTAGTGTAATGCGTTCAGGGCGTGTGCACGGCACGAACATCGCTACTTGAAATCAACTTACCGCTTTATCTATTCAGCGTCCTCGTTAAATTTAAACAATAGCGTTTCTTTTACTCATGTACACGATTACGCAAACAAGGAAATAATAATTATCTATATGTATTTGTTCTTCTTATCATGTTTTTTTAATTTAATTTAAAAAAAATTTATTGTTATAATTTAATTGTATTATTTTTTTTTAATTTTAATTTTTTAATTTTATAAATAATTTAAATTAAATTTAATCGTTCATTATTTTCATATTGTTTTTTTTGTGAAATTATTATTAGTTATAAAATTAAAATTTATTTTTGAAATAGAATAGATAAAAATGAATGAATGATATTTGATAAATAAATTTTCTCTTGAAATAATGGAAATAAAGATATAATAGCATTTTAAATATATATATTTTGGTATCAAATAAATACTATTTTGAAATGAATATTCAATTGAAATATAAAATAGTGATTAAAATAATAGTATTTTAAAGAAATTTAATGATAATTTAGATATTACATAAAACAATTACAGTACTTTCAAATAATAAAATATTTCAATTTTCTAATCTTTTTTCTATCTCTTCCAATTTATTTAAAATCTTCTTCAAATTTGCACAAATTATTAAATATATATCGAAAATTGCTTAACCAATAATTAATAACAATATTTTTATTTTTAATTTAATTCATAATATACATTTCTTTAAAATATCTCATAACATTTCATTCGAACAACATTATCCTTAAGATCAGATATTTATTATAAAGCAAGATCTTCTCGACGACGATAGAGCTACTGTTTTTGCAGTATAATGTACCCTTGTCGAACTTGAGAAAGAACGCAAAGGGGAGAAAAGAAAGCAAAGAGAAGACGAAGGACGAAGCTGTTGCATCCTGGCGGCGCAGGAGCGCATCAACAGGATCTCGCTGAACCAAGTTGCTCCTGTTACCAGTAGTGGGGATGAGTGCAAGGTGGGGGTATCAGAGTGGGGGAACCGCACGAAGAGAAGACGAGTGGAGCTCCCTCTGGCGAATGTCTCGTGTCAGTCGAGCCGTGTGTCGCGTCGCGGTAGTGTTGTGTCGTGGTTGTGTGTTCGCGGTTGTCGTCGAATACTGATGACGCTTTGCTTACCACGATTATGAATGACGTGAATTCAGTGAAATCAAGTTTAACATATCATCCCCGATATGTTCTTAGAGAAGTGAAAAAAAGCAACGCGCGATAAAATTTTGCAGTCCGGTTTTATCGTTCCGTTTCGACCGCGTGCTTTCCATCGTATTGGTCTTTTCTCTTTCGGGGGAGTTTTCAAGGTTACGCTTTCAATACCGGCACGAACGATCCGGAGACCGTTGCTTCTGCCTGCGGTTTCGTTCGTCCTCTCTTTGTCACACGCATGTCGTTGTTGACGATTTGAAAACTTCGATTTAAAAACTTCGGTTGCCAATTACCATTCTGGTATAATAATTCGCTCCAAATTTTCATTCGGATTTGTATTCATTTTTTGCTATCTGTACTGTGTTTCTTATTTACTGTGCCGTCAATTTATCGTCGTTTATCGTTATTTATCGAATTGATCGAAAATAGTGAAATTTTGCCTACGAACTCAAGAATATTTCTCTATGAAAATCGACAAAAGTTTATATTTACGGTAAAGAGTGTTGGATTCGAAATTATTTGTTTCGTATAAGAAGAATCTTTCAAATCATAAACAAATACGTGTGTTGAAATTATAACAGTGTCAGAGAGAAAAAAAAGAGAAAAGTTTGTGATTACAATCATACCATTTATTTGACGTCTTCCGTGTGATAAGTGAATGCGCGGCAAAATCAAAACGTGCAAAGTTATTCCCATCCATTGTAAAAAAGTGCTCTGATTCATTCAAATTAAATTGTGAGACAAATGTAGTGAAGGAATGTTTATAGATAAAATATTCCTCATTACGTGTATGGATACGTGATATGTGAGTAGATTATTGCGAGCAATAACAATAATCGTAGCTGTAATTTAAAGTGGTTCGAGACGTGAGACACGTGCTCTAAATTCGATCGTGCTTAAAAGGATCGATCGGTTGATTTCTCTTCTACCCTACCATAACCCTACCCATAACCGAGTGCTTCGTAAAATAGATCGAGGCAGAGGAACGGAGTACAATTACCCGCGTTTTTCTTTCAACTGTTAACCGTGCACCAGAAACCGAGCGGTTTAAAAGCGTTCGAAAAGAAGATCGTATCGTCTCGTCGAACTAGTTCGATCGTCCGCGCCTCGTAATGAGCCAGGGCACTGCACGTTGAAGATCGAACGTGACCAGTGTCCCCTCCCCCCCTGCGTCGTTCATCGGTATTCTCCGAGGAGCCGTTAATCGAGGGTGCCGCCCATTACAAGAAAAACCAATCGGGCCCGCGATCGGTTCGCCCGGATTCAATATAGCGAATATCATACGTGACTTCGCCCTTTCGCGAGGATGTCGTCGATCCGCATTCTTTCGAAGATGTCGCGGTGCGTAGTTTCAACAAGACAGAGCGCGTAAGGGGGGGCCGAGACAAGGACAGACCGAGACCAGATCAGAGGGAAGGTGAAGGAGAGACACGTGTACACGAGAGAAGAGAGCGGCGGGGGCGTGATAAAGCCCTCGCACTCCTCGCGACCGAGCAGAAATGACGATGGCTAGCAATATCGTGGTCGAGTGGCTACGCTCGCTTCATTTAGGCCAATATTCGGAGTCGTTCATAGACAACGGCTACGACGACCTTGAGATATGCAAACAAATCGGCGATCCCGATCTCGACGCGATCGGTGTATTTAACCAGACCCATCGAGCACGATTGTTGCAATCGGTGAAGACTCTCAGGGAGGAGGGTGCAGCGAGCGTTTACTTCACCCTGGAAGAGAGTAATGATTGCCTGTGCGACAATGTTAGCTCGAAATCGTCGAGAACATCTTCTGAGAGACCGCTCAGCGATAAAGAGGCGCAACGGGCCTCGCCAACAGCCAGTTCCTCGAGCGGTGGTCAGGAATTAACCAAGTTCGCGGACGAGTACGAGGAGGGAAAGGCGGAGCTCGTCAGAATCCCAAGGATGCAGCTACGGATGCTGCTGCAGGAGAAGCTGAGGCACGACGGCATCAGGTTGGCTTGTCAACCTTACACAACACCGGTAAGTCGGCTTATTTTTATTTCTTTGTTTTTTTATTCCTTTTTTTTTTTCCTTTTTACTCTCCCGCTGAACGCAAATTTTCTCCATCGCTACCTGATTATTATGTTTAAGACAAAGTTAGTTATTTGCCCGTTATGATAAAAAATGCCGCGGAAAAATTTACGACCAGAAGCTGCGCGATATAAAATGAGTTACATAAAATTCATGGAACTTTATTATCGCTGCAAGTATCTCGTGAAATTTGCTTTGGTTCTTGCTTTTGAAATTTCTTTGAAATTTGTATTCCGTTTCTCTCTTCCTTCCCTCTTTTTTTTTTTTATTTTTATTCCAACCTGTCGTTGAGCATCGCGTACATTTATCGCAAAAATAATATTGCAATTTTTATAAGCATTCGTAAAGCATCATATAATTTTACGTTCGACTAGATTATTGTAATATATATTTATATGTCATAGCTTGTTGAAAATTGATAAACGAATATGATATTTCGATAAAAACGAATTTGATATTTTTAAATAGCAATAAATTATAAATTTTTCATTATTATATTTTGTATTTTAATTTTTCATCATTTCATAAATTTTAATTATAACGTAGAATATATATCCTTTATAATTAAATAGAAAAAATAAGTTTCAAATTATATTTACTTAAATTCGTGAGAATATAAGTTCATAAATTATTGTCCGTTACATTCAGAAAAATGTATGATTAATGATAATAACAAGATTTCAAGTCGAATTATCAGATTACGAAGTGACTGTACATGAATCAAAGATATTTTAAAGGCGAAGATAATGGAGAAAACTCGTAACCCTTTCAAGACACGCCTTGAGTGCAGATAATCCTCTGATTCATTATTCCGTTATGAATGTGAAGCATATTTTTGAAATCAAAGAATGCATATCAATCGTTATCATATATTTACAGATAACGATCAATTTCAATTAATTACTAAATACAACATATAATATTATCTTTAAAAAGTACAAGAATTATATTAATGCAAAATTTGACTAATAAATTCTTTGTTATTATGTTAATCCTTTCAAGATTGATTTTCTTTTAGGTCTTTTAAATAAATTTTTTTCTCTCGATTACTAATAATAAAAACATATTCTTCGTGATTTTTTTTTCAAAAGGATAAAATGCATTAAAATTTTTGTTATATGTAACGTTATTGCTATTATATTCTCTTTAATAATTCTTATATCGAATTAATAGGCTTATTATTATTTTCAGAATAAAAGATGAAAGAAAATTCACTAAACAATTGATGCAATTGAAAAAATAATATCATTTATATCAATGGTATTAATAAATTTCATTTATCATACTATATACAATATTACCAAAATTCACCCATTAAATGACAAACAGAAATTATTTTGCATTATTATTTAATAATATTATATAATTGTATATAATATAATTTAAAAATTACATGATTCGAATATCATCACATAGTGTTTTGGGTTGAAAAATATAAATTTTTACATAACTCTCGTATTGTAAGAGATATTGAAACTTGAACTGGATAACGTTAACGATATTCGATTACATCAGTGAAAGGAAAAATTTTACAAATATCAGATGTTATTTTTATTAAAATTTTTTCAAATCGAGATCAATATTCCGAAAATTTATATATGGATGTATATAGCGGATTTGTTCGAGTTATAATTTTCAATTATTATCGTTAATTGTCTAGAAATTTTCATTAAACATATGTCTATGAGTATTGATTTCTGGAATGATATATACATGTTTGTTGGAAAATTCGATATTTTCAAACTAATTATAGAATTATTAATATTCGTATTAATATCATTATTATTCTTATTATTATTTTATTTTACATTATATAAAATTTAAAAAATTTATTATAATCACAAAAGAAATCATATTAATTGTAATTTAAAAAATTATTTTAAAAACTTCTTTATTATTTTTTCACTTTTTTGAGAGAATGAATGTGTGTATGATCATGTAAAAGATATATCTTAGCTAATTTGAAAAATAATTTTTTCATAATTGTGAAAATGTGCGGTGTTTTTAAAGACTCTAAAGAATTCTTAAATAAATGAAAATTTAAGTGAGAATTTTGTATATATTTTTTAAATATATTATTTTCCATTAATATTATTCTTCTAACATATTTTATATAATAATTGTTAATATAAAATACAATTTTTATTGCGAAATATTCAAAAAAGAAAAATCAAACATATATATTTATAACAAAATAGAATCTAAATTTCAAATATAATTTTCGAATAATGCTATTTACAAAATTGGATTAAAAAAAATTTTTTTTTAAAAATAGGGATCCCATTCTTTTTTAATTGTCAAATTGCACAAATTTTTTAATATACATCTTACAAACAATTTTTAATTCCTAAATACTTAATTATTTTTGATTTCATTTCAATAATTAATATTAAGTACTCATTAAAATATTATTATATTATATATATATATCGTATAAATACGTTTAATTTTAAATTAAATTCCATTTCCATTGCTGTGATAAAGAAAGATTGTTTACATTGTTGCAAATATGGGACAGAATATAGTTCGGACAATAGAATATTCGGTTATTAGATTTTATTGTTATATTAATTCAACATAATTCAATTTTATTCATCAAAAAGATTAAAATTATTATTATTATTGGTTGATTTAATTAATTTAATCGATTGTTACTAATAATTTCTTCGCTTATTCTTTATAATTATATTATATTATTATTATATTCTTTATAATTAAATTGTCAATATTTTGGAAGATTTTTTTTCTTCTAAGACAATTTTTTTCCATTAATATTAATAGCAATTTCGTTTTACGCATTCATACTAAATTGAATTTTAAACCGGTATAAGAAAACACCAGAATTTAATATTGAAATGTATTCAATATTAATTTTAAATTAAATTCTCTTTCTTATTGTGGTAAGAAAAGGAATCAAATAATATAATTATTATAAATAATAATATATAATCCGAATAATGAAATGTTAGATTAATAGAACATTCGAATATTAAACTATTTGAATAATGGGGATTACTTCAATAATTCTATTTCCATTATTGTACTAAAGAAAGGCATCGAATATAGGCATATAATTCGGATAATATTGGGTTAATAGAATATTCGAATACCAGAGTATTCGTATAATAGAGATTCTATATGTCCGATTCTCTTTACATTGGTATGGTGAAGAAAGGTATCGAATATAGACATATAATTCGAATCCAATAGAATATTGGGTTATTAAAACATTCGAATACCAGAGTATTCGTAAAATTTTATTATACATTTGAATATTAATATCGGTATATTTGATTTTTTCCTCGACAAAATATCGCTCAGTTCTTCAATTCGGATCATTGTGTATTATAACGACGCGTTATGATTGTAACACGAATATAAAGCCTAGTCACATTACCGGTTCGAATGGCTTTAAATACGTCCGTGGTCGCTAATGATTCACACGGCTCGACGTCTTTCCAGTATCTGAATGCGTTAATTAACCGCACTACGAGATGAATGCAACTTGGAAAAATAGATGTCTGATATTGGTACATGGCTACGTTTTATTGCTTCAGTTGCTTCGTTCCTTGACACTGTCGCCAGAAAATAGAAGCATTTGAATTTTGCCAAAAAAAAAAAAAATATTTTTATTACTAAAATATATTATAAAAGAGCATTGACTATGTATATTATTTATGAAGAAATGACAATTTTTTGTATTATGTAAACTTTTTTAAAACAGAGTTAGTGACCAAATGAATTGAATTAAAGGAGGTGTTAAATTAATTTTTGATTAATTATTTGGTGAAATGGACTTGAAAGTTTGAAACGATGGAAGTAATTTTAGAGAATGAATTCATTAATCGTATAGTGTTGATATAAAATTGTATGTTAATAAAATTTGTATAATAAGAATGTGTCATGATGGAAATAAAAAAAAGTCATGTTATAATCTTAACCTATAAAAATAATTTAAATTTTTGAAAGTTATGAAGAAAAATTGAGAGAGAAGAAGAAGAATAAAAAAACTAAATTGAAATGAATGAATTTGATATCAAAGGGAATATTAAGATCCTTATTTTCAAAAATAATTTGAAATTTTCTAAACGTGAAGATCATTCTTTCAGCATTCTGTTCATAAAAATCACGAATGATATACTAAATTATAAGGAGTGGTAAATTAACAATCAACAGATTAAATGAAAATATTAGAAGACAAAAATAATATTTATTTTATGAATTATCTAAAAATCTTTTCTCATAATTTTATTCAACATTTATTTCTCTAAATAATCTTTCTAACTAAGAATTTACGCCAGCATATATCTTGCAAATTCTGTCACATACTATTTTTGGGCTGAAAGTTTTTGGCTTTTATATCAAAATCCTACAAATGTTCAATAAGAGATATATTTGTGATTTGAGGAAGTTTCATAGTAGGAACTCGAGCTAAAAGCAAACATCATATAGAGTCCAATAATAGTATCTTTGTATCATAATTGAGTTCTATACACAATGAAGTTGAATTATTTGTTTAAACGCTTTCGTTTCCAAGCTTTTAATATATATACGTGATCTTTTATTTCGCTGGTTTTACAATTTCGATGCTTAGCGCATTGATAAAGTTAACGTTTAAACAAACAGCCGTCGAATTTGAATGACAAAAGGCCAGCTTTTGCGGAGATTGTAAATTACACAGCAATTACGATTGCACCGCGGCCGAGAATTTACGAGCACGTACGTTTCGCATCCCCTATCGGTTTCAATTTTAATTCGATCCCATTGGGATGGATTAAGTGCTATTGCTGTTTCCAATATTATAATCTATTTTATGAGTTTCGACGGGGAAAAAATTTTTGGCAAAACTTATGCCCTAGATTTTATTATTAACAGATTGTAAAAAATTACGCTTTGCGCGAACTTGTTAGCTCGGCAAATTGGTAGCTCGTATCGCAATAGATAAATTA